GACCGTGCTGCATTGCAGATGAGCAGCTTCCTGTTACTCCCACCTCATTCATGCTGAGCCTCATCCTGTTCAACGTTTTCAACGTTTAGCTTCTGGCGGAGACCCTGGAATCTTTGTGGTCCCAACGCCTTCGTGAAGATGTCTGCGATGTTCTCTTCGCTCGAGATATACTGCACCGCGATTTTCTCTTTCTCCACGAACTCGGCGATTTTCCGACTTGTCTTGGCAAATCTCTTCATACGCTGGTAATTCCCAGGCTCTGTTACTACAGTGAGCGTGCTTTGATTATCCATGTAGAGCGTAGAGCACGGCAGCTTATCACTCCGAATCTCTTTCAGCAACTTACGAGCCCACATCAAGTCTTCCACGCACATACTTGCTGCAAGCAGCTCCGAGCTGCACGTGTCCGTGGTCACTTTGCTTTGTTGCTTGCTCTTGTACATGAACATGCATCCGTTCAACCGCAGAATGTATCCTGTAATAGATCGACTCGTATCCGGACAGTTGGCATGGTCGGCATCGCAGTAAGCATCAATTGTCAGCGGCAGCACGTTCGCTTGACGTTTATACACTAAGCCGTAGGTTCGCGTAGCCCGTAGGTAACGCAGTACGCGCTTCGCACACTCGTAATTCTCCTCTGTGTACGAGCTGCTGTAGCGAGACAACGTACGCACTACGTTGGCCAAGTCCGGCCGCGTGCATGCCACTAGATACTGCAAAGCACCCACCAACTCACGGAACGGAAACTTTGGATCATTGGTCTTGTCCTGATTTTTCTCAATCGGTGGCATCCTCTCGTTCTGCATCTGCGGGGAAGCCGCAGACCGCGCCCCACTCATACCAAAACGTTCGAGCACTCGGTCAATGTATGCTGTCTGCGAGATGCAGAGCAACTCCCCCGGCACATACTTAACTTCCATAGCCAACAAGTGCTTTACACGACCGAGGTTCTTCAACGCGAACTTTTCGCTCAGCTCACCGATTACATGCTCAATGTCCTCCTTTGATCCAGCGATCAACAAGTCATTAACATATACTGTAACGTACACAGCGCGGCCGTCCTGCCACCGCTGGTACAAACCCACGTCAAATGTGCACTGCTTGAAGCCAATTTGCTCCAAGTACTCGTGCAGTGTCTGGTACCATAAGCGCGAAGCTTGTTTCAAGCCGTAGAGTCCTTTCAGCAACTCACATACACGACCGCTTCCGTCATTGAAGTATGCGGGCTGCTCCATGTATATTTTCACTCCTTTCAGCACACCATTAAGGAAAGCCGTAACGAAGTCAACATGGTAGCATTCATAACTTAATAGAAATGCCAGGATCAATAACATCCGCACAGTCTCAATTCGAACGACAGGAGAGTACGTATCCAAGTAATCAACACCGTACTTCTGTCCGCAGCCTTTCACTGCTAAACGAGACATGAGTCTGTCCACAAGCCCCTTTTCGTTGAGCTTGGCTCTCAACACCCACGTGGTTTTCAAAATGTTGTGCGAGCCTTTGGGTCTATCGACCAGTCTCCAGGTACCATTCACTTTGTGTGCTTCCATCTCGAGTTCCATCGCTTTGATCCACTTTTCACGTTGTGGAGACGCTAGAGCTTCTTCAACAGAAGCAGGATTTCCTGCGAAAGTCTCTAGTGCTTCCAAGGAAGCCATCACATAGTCTTTCAACCGCACATTTTCTTTTCGGATACGCTCTGATCGTCGCCATCCACGCTTGCGCTTCGAGCTGCGCCGCGGTTGAGATCCATTTAGGAAGTCCGGATTGCGTTCCGACCAAGGTCGAAGTTGATCCGCCGTTGGCATTTTGTCATCTACATCATCGTTCTCTTGTGACTCTCTGTCATTCGATGCACTTGCTGCTCCCACCGAACCTGCAGCCTCTGCTGCTAAGTCATGCTGCTCGGTGTTCGCTTGCTCAACCGGCTGATCATCTATCCGTGCAGTTTCATTAACAGCCTCTCTCACTGCTTCATGAGCTCCGGCCCGAACGGCTTCGTCAGCAACGTACTCCACTGGGAGTGGAACAAATGGTATCTGCGGGAAATAGTGCTGTCGGCCCTTCAACAGCGCGTTAATGTATGTGCGCTCGACCGTCACGTCCTCGCGGAACTTGACGTCGCGGGCTTCAATCACTTTCCCACTTCGCAGATGAAGCAGTCGGTAGCCATGACCCATCCTTGCAAAACCAAGAAACAGTCCCGGTTCAGCCTTTGCTGAAAGCTTGTTCTTCCTGGTCTCCTTCGGAACAAATACGTATCCCACACAGCCGCACACCTTTAGTTGCGCAACGTCAGGTTTTAATCCTGACAGCTTTTCAGTCGGGGTTAACCCTTGCAAAGCTTTTGTCGGACTCAGGTTGTCCACCTCCACCACATAGCGCAAAACCTCTGGCCACAATATCATCGGCAAATTGGCCGCGTGCATGACAGCACGCATCTTGTTCACGAGAACACCATTTAGTTTTTCAACTAAGCAGTTTTCTTCCGGTGTGTACGGATGAGTGGGGACGAAGGTGATTCCCTTGCTCTCTAGGAACCCCGTCAGCACACTGTTTACGTATTCCCCTCCTCCGTCACTCGTGAACGTTATTATCCTTTTGCCTTGAGCCAGTAGCTCAGTCATCAGCCGTTGCGTGTTGCCAGAAGCTTCACTCTTGTGTACGAGCGGGTAGCACCACTTGTATCGCGAGCCCTCATCATGAATGAGCTGGAAGTACCGCATTGCACCAATTCCTGGTCCGTACTTCCCCATATCACATACATCTGAGGTCAACCGCTCAAAGTTTTGAACAGTTCTTTTCTCGGTGACATCCCCATATGACATGCGTTTTCGCTTTGTCGACATGCAGCTAAGACACTTTAACTTGGTCTTCAGCTGCTCGGCAGGAATGTCCAAGCCTCTCACCACGTCGTTCTTCACCATGAACTTCAAAGCTGCCTCGTTCAGGTGAGCCAGACGTTCGTGCCACTTCATTAACGGACTGTCATCCGCATTTACAGTCGTCATAATCACAGCACTGTTATCGCCAAAGCTACCATTGTTTAACCAGTAGTGAGTCCCATGATAAATGAACTCCACACAGACTCCATTTCGAGTCAAAAATTGCTTCTTCGGTAGCACTCCAGGCGCACTGGTTGACAGCTCCCAGCCTTTGTTTACCATCAGTCCAAGACTGAGCAAATTCACAGGTCCAGTGGGTGAAAACACCACTTTATCCAGTTCCAGCGTGGTTTCACCACCACTCAGCACGTTCAATGCGTTCAGCAGCACCTTACCGCACTTTTTACTACGCGTGATGGCGGCGTCCCATACTTTGAACGAAGCCTTGGATTTCTTCATGCTTGTGAATTGGTCTTTTTGGTTGCACACATGCGAAGACGTTCCCGAGTCCAGCAGCCAATCGCCACTAAGCTCATGTCTTCCTTCTTTAATTGCCATACCCACAAATGGAAGTTCGCCTTCAGAACTGCTACTACTACTGCTGCTGTCGTCCTCACGACCAGCATCCGCAGTGAACCGCATGAAGCCCATAGAACCCACTGGCTTACTGGCCAAACCCCGAGGAATTACCTCCACCGCTGTTGCTCGGCTTCTTCGTCTCGGTGGCCTTGCCTTTGCCAGCTTGGGCCTTGCTTTGCTTGTTTTGTAGTGCCAACAGTCTTTCCGCATGTGTCCAACTTTCTTACAATGGTAGCAGCGAATGGCACGTCGTTTGCCTGCACCGGTGGTCTGCATCTGCCCTCGAGGACCAGGGCCGGGGCCTGGACCTTCATTCGGCCAATAATGCTGCCCGTTAGGCTTCCCCATATGCATTGCCACCTGCGGGCCGCCATTGCTTGCACCACAGTTCACGGCCGTGTCAGCCGCCATCTTCTCCATCTCATCGCGCGACAGCAGTGCGTTTTTCACTTGCTGCAACGATGGTGGGTTTCCTTGTCGGTATGAGAAGTCGAACTGGGTCACTATCTCGCGATGCACTGCACACACTCCCATCAGCATCAACTGAGACATCGACGTATCGTCTATCACGAAGCTGGGCCCCATGTGCTGCAAACGCTGCCGCAACATGTTCATCTCTTGGATGTATTCCGCCATCTTTTGGCCCGGGGCGTACGAGTGAGTGTACAGCTCACGCTTCAAATGCACTGCATACGAGAAGTCTCGCTGGGTTTTCTCCGCAGTCAATGTGTCCCACATCTCCTTCGCCGTGCTGCAAATGCACACTTTTTGGGCATCAGCACCTTTTACGCCTCGGATTATAGTCTCCATGGCCAGTCGATTTCGATCATCAAATTGACGCTGCAACACCGGATCAAATGCATGACGCATTTCTTCACCGGTCACCACACTCCATGAGTCTCGCTGCTCAAGATAGAGCTTTAAACTCATCTGGTATACCTCGAAGGTATCGCTAAACTTCGGTGGCTTGCTGCTGCCAAATGGTTTTGACCTTTGAACTACAGGAACCGCCGGTTGCTGCACACCAAGTAGTCCTGGCGACGCTCCAGCCTGCCCCACTACTCCAGCCATTGGTACCCCAACGCGACTTGCATCAGCCAGCGTAACAGTAGGTTGCCCCACCGATACTACCGCTGTTTGCTGTTGGGTCGTCGGAGTCGCACTAGTTATCGTACTCTTCGTACTTGCATTGACGCTCGTCGTAGAAGCCTTATATTCACTCATTACGATGTCCACGAACCAGCCTTTGGGCTCATAACCTAGCAGATAACCTGGTAGTTCACGCAGTAGACTGCAGCGTAATGGTCTCGCGGACAAGTAGTAAGTCAGAGAAACTTGACTTGTTTGTCAGGAAAGCAAAAGCAAGAATGCATTCATCGTTAAACCTTTCTACTCCGCGCAGTCTCTCATACGCAACGTGCCATGCACGCGGAGGAAAACCCGTTGGACATGCATCGCACCATCAACAGCTAAAAACCCCCGTTGAACTCACGCGTCCCTGCTTACTGGCACGTGGTTCTTCTTGTCTCCTATATGCCTGGTCTCAGCTTGAATGACCGTGCTGCATTGCAGATGAGCAGCTTCCTGTTAGTCACGAGCTCCATGCTCTCGGGTTTCACGCTTAAGAACTCGCCCTTCCGCACCTTCAGCATCCTCAACTCCGAAAAAACAACCGTCAGCGGACTCACCCTCGACTCCAGTGCTGGTGACGGCACGGCCAAAAACAAGGACGGATTTGACCTCAGTCGAAATGACGGCGTCACCATCACCGGCAACAAAATCTACAATCAGGACGACTGTCTCGCCATGCAGCCCAGCACCAACACGGTATTCAGCAACAACTACTGTAGTGGAGGCCACGGTATTTCGATTGGCTCGCTCGGTGGGGACTCCTTCACGTCATCTGACACAGTATCAGGTCTGACGGTGACCGGCAACGCAATTGTCAACAGCATCAACGGGATCCGCATCAAAACAATTATTGGTCTCAAAGGTCTCGTCTCCAACGCCAAATATACCAACAATAAGCTGTCGAACGTCAAAAATGCCATCGTTATCCACTCGGACTACAGCAAGTCCAAGGGAGGCTACACTGGCTCAGCCACTAGTGACGTGACGATCCAGGGCGAGACTATTTCGGGGCTGTCGGGGACGGCCACCAACCTGTTCGATATCGTGGCCAGCGCGAAGGTGGTGTCGGACTGGACGTTCTCGGACATCACCGTGAGTGCGTCGTCGAAGGGATCGTGCAGCGGCCAGCCGAGCTCCATCACGTGCTAAGGATAAGAGCTAAGGATGCTGCAAACGGCTGCTGTATGGTACACGTAGTGGTGTTTCTTTAGTGTCTACATGTATATGATGTGATCCATTTTCATGCAAACGTAATGTTAGATAAATTTGATGTATATGCTCAGTCCTACTGCATCCAAATGAGATTTCAACTCTACTTATGATAGGCTCAAACACTAATTGCTGCAAATAAAGATCTGTTATTAGTGACACACTCGATTGTAGCGGAATATATTTCGTCCAGGTCGACAACGGTGGATATCAGGGTAAACATACCGTATTATACTCGCTAAGGGCTTTATGACCTTGACAAGAACTGCTGGTATTGCTGACTCTAACGTTTGATCCCGTGAGTTTTGGTCCTTTTTTCTAGGACAAAAATATTGGGTTTATGGAGATTGGACCCAAACGATCTCAGAGCGATGCAGGGGGTGTAGCTCCTGTGCGGGCAACTTGAATTAAATATATAACATTACATGTGGTTTATGAAGCTGTGCGTGGCACGCAGTTTTAAAAAAAAAACGCTTAGGACCGTGCACGATTATTTAAAACAGTCGACAAGTAATATTTTGTATTTCAGCTAATTACTTTAGAGTGACGAGTCGAGTATTAATTTGTCTTTATTGCTTTTTATTACATTGAGCAAAGTCATGCTTCCCCAAAAAAGTTCTGAAATTTGATAAGAACTGAGCTAGTAAAAATTAAAGGTTAAAATAAAAGGCGGTTAAAACGACTAAGAAAATGTTCTCAAGACAGGGCAGCTGTGGTAGCGAGACGAGGTAAAAAATGCCTCGCCTTTCCGATCCTAGAGCGGGATATACCCTCCTTGGTTCGAAGGGACATGACAGGGTCATTGTGTTTTCTTGCGCGCACTCCAAGGCAGCAGCTTAGGACACTGTGGGATGCTCCAGATCGAATCAAACGGGCTTCAAACGCCCCATCACCAGCAAGAAAGCGACAATGAAAAAGACAACGTTCGGAAGAATCTACTCGCTAAGTACCGATAGTCAAGCTAGCCCTCTCCCAATTTTATTGTTGAGATCGTCTGTTGTGCACACTGTCACATATTGTGTGCCATACACAAAGCCAACTTGCAGGTTGAAGTAAATGTTGGTCATCGAAGCTTCGCGAAGGAACGATCAAGTTTAGTAGGATTCTAGATTGTGGAGCTAGGAGAGAGCTAGAGAAGTCTGCACATGTAAAGCTTTTGATTCAATTTACTTTCCATTCTACACTGCATCGCACAAGAGAGTTTAAGAGCGTTTTAGGTTATGAGCCCAAATACGCTGGGTCCTAACGATATCTTGCGGGACGACAACTATTTCCTTTGGGAATTTAACTGCCGTATGACACTCGCGAGGAAGGACCTGCTGGACCACGTGGAGATGAAGCCGGAAGGTGCAGCTAAACGGGAGACCGAGGCATGGAAAGTCGCCGATTTCAAGGCGCTGGCTGTTATCTCCAAGTTACTGAGTCCCGTCTACCAGTCTATGATTCGTGACTCCAAGTCGGCCAAGGAAGCGTGGGAAACGCTGCGAGAGTTCTTCGTCAAGCAGAATTTGCACAACCGTGTGACTCTTCGCAAGAAGCTACATGAGTTCCAAATGGCACCCGGAGGCGATTTGATGGAGCACATGCTGAAGTTTGACGACCTCTGCCTGAAGCTGTCTGCCGTCGGCGACCAGCTAAGCGACGATGAGAAGCTGGTTATTTTGCTGGGAAGTTTGTCAAGTGAGTATGACGCCATGGTGAAGATCATTGAAGCGCACGCATCTGTGACATTGATAGATGCGAAGGAAATGCTGCGCCGAGAGTCCGAGACGTTGAAGAAACGTGAGAAACAAGAGAAAGCTTTTAATGTGTCTGCTCGTAGTCGAAAAGATGGTCGACGGAGTAATAACAACGGTGGCCGAGCTCAATGGTCACAAGGGAGACAGCATGGTCGTGGGAATCAACGCGTACAGCGTGGACAACGCGGTGGCTTCAAAGGAGACCGTGGGGCGTTCAAGTTTACTGGTCAGTGCTATGAGTGTAACCAGTACGGGCATAAGCAGAATGAGTGCCCTAGACGTAAGCAAGGAAATGATGGCGATGAGTTCGTGTTCGCTGTCACGAGAGAATCGACGACTTCATGGTTACTGGACAGCGGAGCCAGTGCCCATATGACGCACAATCGAAGTGATTTTGTCGAGTTCCGGGAGTTAGATGGAACAATGGATATTGTGGTCGCGAGTGGGCAGCGTCTTCGTGCTGTCGGGGTTGGTACGGTGCGTTTCCAGGCTGCAGGAGGATGTACCATCAAAGTAACTGACGTTCTCCTGGTACCTGATTTAGACAGACGTCTGCTGTCCATTCCATCATTGGTGGCTAAGGGAGTTTCTGTTGGCTTCTCCAGTGATGGATGCACTATCACTTTTGACGGGAAACTGGTAGCACGAGTGGAGAAGCGCGACAAGTTATTTGTGTGGAACGTGGTGGCGTCCTCGGACGTGAGCACTGCGACTGAAGTTGCTGCATCGGCAGATGTATAGCTGCAGAGTTTGTGGCATGAGCGCCTGGGCCACGTCTCAATGAAGAAAATGGGGTCATTGTCGCAAGTGGCGAGCGGCGTACCGGAGTTCACAGGAAGAAACGAAGTGTCCGAGCCGTGTGCTGGGTGTGCATGTGGGAAGATGACCGTTAGCTCCTTCTTACGACAGTCTGGAAGTATGGTAAAGACACAAAACCTTCTGGACATCGTGCACTCCGACGTCATGGGCCCCATGAAACCGGTATCAAAAGGTGGAGCGCGATTTGTGGTATCGTTCGTCGACGATTTCTCGCGATTCGGGCACGTATATCTGATCAAGGCGAAGTCCGAAGTATTCGCAAAGTTCAAAGAGTACAAACAGTTGGTTGAGACGCAGACCGGACGTCAGAATCGCTGCCTTCGCAGCGACAATGGTGGTGAATATGTGTGCAAACGCTTCGGACAGTTCTTTTCTACTTATGGAATCGGGCATCAAACGTCGACACTACACACACCTCAACAGAATGGGCTCGCTGAACGTATGAATCGCACCCTGGTCGGGATGGCTCGATCGATGTTACATCACCGTGCGATTAACTGTGAGTGGTGGGGCGAGGCGTTGTGTACGGCTGTGTATATCGTTCCCAACACAGCACGTCCGCAATCAACACCACATGAAGTGTTCACAGGTCTCAAGCCCGACCTGACGCATCTGCGTGTCTTCGGGGCGAAAGGATTTGTCCATATCGACAAGTCGCGCCGCAGCAAATGGGACGCACGAGCTCATTCCTGTGTGTTTCTTGGATACGCTCCAGGATCAAAAGCGTATCGAGTTTGGGATTGCGAAGATCAGCGAGTTGTTACGACAAGGACGGTTAAACTGGACGAGCGGCCTGTCGGGGGCTATCAAACCGTGATTCATGCTACGAAGCAGTCGCCAATTGTGATGGACGATGATGTTAGTGTGGCACAGCGGGTGCCCACACCTCCTGATAACACTCTTGATGAGCCGGATGTTGAGATGACTGACGATGCTGACGCTCCTATCGATATGGAGGTCGATTCAGAACCAGAGATGTATCTCCAAGTGCAGCAAGAACGAGCTGAGTTGTCTCGTCGAGGGGGAAATGGAAGCTGCTTGTCGATGCTGCCATCTGATTCAAATGCTACGTCGACTCGTCAACTTGCTCAACAACCTGCGCAATATCCTGTGGCAATTGTTCCGTCCACTTCTATTCAACCATCCCGCCGCGAAGATTTTTCATTGAGTGATCGTCTAGTCTTTGGACCGACTAGACTGCGCCAGACTCGGATTTCATCTCAGTCACAACCTCCACTACTAGCGGCAGGATCACCTAAAGTTCGCCCGTCGACAGCTCCAAGTTATTCAGTGTTGCCACCTAGCCAAAATGTGGACACTCAAAATTGTACGGAGCCGTTATTACTGGAAAACGGGGAGAGTGAGGTTGCTAATGGCTATTCTTCGGATGGAAGTGTCGATGAACATGATGCCAAGCGACCCAGACTTGACGATGAATATGAACTTGCCCTATCTGCTGAAGAGTCTGTCCCCAACTCTTTTTCGCAGGCTATGAAATCACCTGAAGCCGACAAGTGGAAGCAGGCTTGTCGTGATGAAATTTGAGCTCATGTTCGAAACCATACTTGGGATTTGGTGTACCGACCGGAAGGCGTGCGGGTAATTGGCCACAAGTGGGGTTTTGCGCTGAAAAGAGATGAGCGTGGCAATATCATCAGATACAAGGCGCGTTTAGTTGCGTTGAGGTGCTTCCAGACGTTTGGAGTGAATTACACGTCGACGTATTCCCCGGTTGCTAGTCTTAACACCGTTCGTCTGTTCTTGGCTGTTTGCTGCCAGTGCGGATTTGTTGTGAAGCAATACGACGTCGAAACTGCATTTCTTAACGGTGACCTAGAAGAAGAAGTGTACATGGTGCCACCGGAAGGAATCAAGGTTCAAGAGGGAATGGTGTGTCGACTTCGCCGCAGCCTTTATGGATTGAAGCAAGCTGCAGCTGTCTGGCACAAAACTATTCGTCGTGTGTTCATTTTGATGGGATTCAAACAGTGCAGATCTGACCCATGCCTTTTTGTCCGTGTTGGACCCAACGGCCCAGTATTCGTGGTACTCTACGTTGATGGTCTGCTTATTGGCTGTGCAAACCCAGTTGAAGCGTCAAGCATTGCAGCGAATTTGAGCACCCACTTTCGTCTGAAATCGCTAGGAGAAGCGAGGTACATCCTTGGAATGGAACTCCAATATGACATGAAGAAGGGGGAGCTGTTCGCTGGTCAATCGCAGTATATTTCACGGATGCTCGAGCGATTTGGACAAGCGGGCGCTTATGCAGTTCGAAACCCATGTGTTATCGGCCAAGATCTACGTGCAAGTGTCTAGCACACTCGTTTGAACTCGAAAAAGCCCTATCGCGAACTAGTTGGATCATTACTGTACGTGGCA